CGGACAACCCTATCCCACACGTTTGGACGTTTCGCTGAGGATGCTCCGGTGAATCCGCCGGGCGCCGGCCATGCGTTTGGCGGCTACGTGCGTGAGGTGCTTGACGTACTGCATGGCGCTGGCGTCCATCTGCACTGTGCCTTTGAGCATCTTGAGCATCATCTGGGCCTTCTCCCGCTCGCGGATCGTGGTGGGGTCGTCGGACTGTCGACGGACGGGGACGAGCGATCGCATCGAGTGGGGCTGACGCCGCAGCAGCCTGTGGGCCATGTGCTTGACACGGACGTCCTTCATGATGGCCGCCAGCGGCGATAGTTTGGCCTCTTTCTTGCGGTTGATGGCCCACTTCTTGGCGGCCACAGCGACCAGGGGCGTTTTCTATCAAGCAAACATACATATATATATTAATATATATACTGGTGCAAACATGCGTGACGTACGACGAGCTGGGTCCGCAGCAGTGCCGCGCGTAGCCGGCTGTTTTCTGCCGTGATCGCGTCAAACGTTGCCCGCGTGAGCACCTGCAAAAAGCACAAGGCCCACACCTCCACCGTCGCGGGGGACGAGTCGGCGTCGAGGCTGCCAAACACGTCGCCGGCGTACAGCTGGTTGAGCACCACCCGAGGCTGCGACGGTTTCGATTTATTTCATGTCGGGATCGATCAAGACAAGGTCCACCGTGCCGGCTTCAATCATGTACAACACTGGGTCCTAATCACAACACCACACATTACCACACATACACAACACTCGTGTATACAAACATGCCCAGTCACAACGAGCGCAGTTCACATTCAGATAGTTAAGTCCATACTGTTAGTGTACAGTATACGGGGGAGTATCATGTTTATAAATGTATAACGAACGAGGGGTATACGATCAAATGCGGGGGTGCCGGGGTATCACGATAGTCGATAGGGAGGTATAAAGATTAGGGGGGAGGATATCCTAGAGGGGGTCGGATTACCACTTCACCCTGCCGCACGATGACTTCCCCCGGTAGCGCCACCACGCGCTCCAGGCCCTGGACGAGGCACACGATGTCGTCGAGGTCCATCGTGTGGAAGAGCGGCACTTTTCTCAGAAATGCCACGTGGAGGCTCAGCGTGAGCTGGACGTGCAGTTTGGGGGGGAGCTTGTCAAGGCCATGGGCGGTCGCAGTGTGCGCCTTCTCCTCACCGAGAACTGTGTCGTAATAGTGCATGACGCGGGTCTGCAGGTCCTCGGACGCGTGGTGCGCGACGAGCCCCGTGCGGATGGCATCGAATTGGCTCGCCTGCTGGTCCGCGACCAAATTGACTTGCTTCATGAGCGTCGCACATGTGCCAAAGATACTAGAGCAACAAAAAGACAACGTGGGCGACGCCGGCATGTGTGGAGTACCTGGCGTTGATGACTATGCTCAGCAGGAGCAGCGTGCCCGTGACGTGCATTTCCACGGCCGTCTTGGGGAACAACGTGCTCCCAGATGTCATTGCGAGCGCTTGGTAGAACGAACCGACGTATTTCACCACAGTCGAATCGTTGGCGACGAACGGCACGTCCCTACTCGTCCCCATTCATGTTAATGTTCACTTAGGCTTGGTATAGGCACATTACAATCTCACCCCCTGCACTATGCACCCTCGATATAGGTCGATATAAGCACAAACAATTGTGTCAATAAAGACTTGATATAGGCACACATATACACACGTGTATCCCCCAGCCAAACACAACGGTATAGCTACACTTCGCTGGAACCCCCGATGTCCCTTCATTCACGTTCCATCCGAAGGGGTCCCCCCCCTGGATATAGGAACATCCAGGCCTACCATTTGCTGTCGATCGTCTCCCACAGAGTCATGACGTAGTACCCGCACGCAATGTAGTGGTGCGCCACAAGGTACAGCAGGCCCAAGAGGAACAAGCGCAAGAGACTCGTGTTCATGTGACGAGACATCCAGTGCATAAATGTGACAAACGCCGTCGACTGAGCCATGTGCACAGCCTACACACAATGTGGGACCAGTCAGTACCAATGTGGGTCGTTCGAGCGAAGCGGATATGCAATGGTTGGGCCGGGGGCCGTTTAATCCACACTAGATCGCCAGTAATTGCGGACGGCAAGTCGAACGACAACGCTGATACTGCAGCGTGCCACGTCATCGATAAAGGGCAAAGACGCCATCCTCGTTGATAAAGAAAGCGTGCAATCATCATCGTAACGTTAGCATTTTACCCGCAAGACAATGCACA